ACACCCTGCTACTGCTTACACGCATCATAATATAATATACAGCCTACTAACACCTGCTACTGCTTACACGCATCATAATAAAATATATACCTACTCACACCCTGCTACTACTTACACACATTTTATATATAATATATACCAACTCACACCTTGCTACTACTTACACACATCATAATATAATATATAGCAACTAACACCCTGCTACTACTTACACCCATTTTAATATAATATATACAACACGCTGCTACTACTTACACACGTTTTAATATAATATAATATATACAACACCCTGCTACTACTCACACCCCATTTTAATATAATATGCACCTGTCTTCTCCCTAGGCTCCCGTGATCCTGGACGTGGTGCTGCTGTTCCGGCCCATGGCCAAAGACAAAAAACGTGTCATGAACAAAGCCTCCCAGCGCATCACGCCGTTCTTTGAAGAGTTCTCACCCAAACACGTGGTCAGTGTGGCGGTGATGGATGTGCCACAGTGTGTGATCAAGGTGTGTGAAGGCGATATCGTAAATCTATTTTTAGAACACGCTCTGCTACGAGGAGAGCGTGCAAGAAGTGAGAGTTCGCTCAAGTGTGTAGTCAGTGTGGGTGTCACAGTGTGTGCTCAAGGTGTTTGAATACATGATAGAATGTGTGTACGCGATATCTATTTATAGCGTGTGATTCTATTTATAGAACACTTTCTGCCACGAGAAGTGTATGCCGGAGTAGTATGCTCGTTCGCATGTGTGGTCCGTAGTCTCCTGGACATCCCCTTTGCACGTCATGTCACGTCCTCTAACCTCAGCTGCACTGACTAAAAGGCTATCACATGCATCTGCTCTTGTGTTTATTGGCATTCACCTCACCTGCACTGACTGAAACGCTATCACATGCATCTGCTCTTGTGTGTATTGACATTCACCTCAGCTGCACTGACTGAAACGCTATCACATACATCTGCTCTTGTGTGTATTGATATTCACTTCACTTGCACTAACTAAACCATTACCGCTCTCATCTCCTTGTGTGTGTGTATTCATGTGTGTGTGTGTATTGACATATGTGTGTGTGTATTGACATGTGTGTGCG